TCCCTCCTCCTTCCTCCCTTCCTTCTTCCCTCCTGCCTCCGTCATTTTCCTCTGGCAGAACGAGGATTTGAACTCAGGGCTCGAGCTCTGCCCTGAGCCGTCTACTTGGACAGCATTACTAGGGTGTCAGCGTTGCCTGCAGACCGGTTAGCAATACGGTGGAGAGGCCGCAGCCAGTGAGCAATGGGCTCCCCTTGTCCGCGGGGTGTGAAATAGGCAACACCACTGCGTTTGGGCTTCTCCACTCTGCATGTTGGCGCGATGACAGGATCGCATAAGCGCTCATCTCTCAAAGCCACTCCGCCACTCCACTGCTCCCAAGCCACGCCCACCGCCCCTCTAACCACACCCCTCGCTAAGCTCAGCATGACTGTGTTGGGGTCATTAAAACATCTCAATAAGTCAATGCAAATAATAGATAAATGCAAAACTTAATTTCATCTGTTTGGCATGGGTTTTGTTTGTTTCATTTGGTTTTTCTGTGGCACTATGGGGTTTGAACTCAGGGCCTCACTCTTGCTAGGCCGGTGCTCTACCACTGGAGCCACTCTACCAGTCCCTGGTGGTGGAATTCTGGTTTTGTTTTTTGTTTTGTTTTGCTGTTTCCCAGGCTGTTCTGGAACTCTGGTTCCTCCTGCCTCGGCCTCATGAGTGCTGGGATTACAGGCGTGCGCCACTAGGTCCTCTCATCTGTATCTTTTCTATGTTACTTAACGTGGCTACTGGGAAGTTCTAAAGTTTGCACATGCCAGGCTAAGTGCTTGCTTCTTATTTCTGTTTTCCTTTCTAGAGGGCAGAGACCTCTGACTTCTTCTCAGCTGTGGGCTGGACACGCAGTAGCCACTCAATTAATATTTGCTGAGCAATTTTACCAATGGATAGATGGATAAATGGATGGATGGATGGATGGACAGATAGATGGGTGGATCGATGGATGGATGCTTGGATGGGTGGGTGAGTGGATGGATGGATGGATGGAAGGATGCATAGATGGGTGGATGTGTGGGTGGATTGATGGATGGATAAGTGGGTGGATGGGTGTCTGGATGAATGGGTGGATTGGTGGATGGATAGATGGATGGGTGGATATGTGGATGATGGATTTGTGAATGGGTGGATCAATGGATGGATGGATGTGTAGGTGGATAGGTAGGTGTAGAGTAGATGATGGTGGGTAGATGGATGGGTGGGTGGATGGATGAGTGGATGGACGGATGGATGGATGGGTGGATGGATGGATGGATGAGTGGATGGATGGATATATGGGTGGATGATGGGTTGATGGCTGGATGGACAGATGTGTGGAAGGAATTGAACCAGAGTTTTGGACTCGAGGCCCAAACTCCTGAGATTCCGTATGCCAGGTCCAGCCACCCACCCCTAAACGCCAAATAAAGAGTCATGGTGAAGGCCGAAAGGAATTTTATCACACAGCTGAGGACATGCCATGGAAGAGGCAGAGTAAGCACTCAGCTCGTCCTCAGCCATATTCAGGGTGCAGACATGGCTACAAGTTTAAGTAGACAAAAGAACCGGGGACAGGGACAAAGGTGCACAGTCTCTGGTGTGTTCTGGTGGGTTGGTGACTGGCACAGTCCCAATCTTGGTGAGGCAGCCGTGTGGCAGTTTTGGAAGTTGTCACCTAGAGGGAAATGTGGCCCCTGTTTGAGAGGATTACTCTGGCTTGCAGAATTGCTCTCACTGGAGGGTGGCAGCTCCAGGTGGCTCTGGTTCCTTGCCATAAAGATGTCATCAGACCTGCCCTTTCTGGAATCCAAGGTTGTTGTAAAGTGACTGCAAAGAGAATGGCTTAGAGCAAAGACAGATACAGATGGAGGCAGGGATGGCAAGCTTTTCCTGTTTTTATTAATTTGTAGGCTGAAGTGAGGAGTCAGCGCTTTTTAGTAAAGCTCACAGTAAGGCACCCAGGCCTGAAGAGGTGGCTCCAAGGCACCTGTGGCCAGCTAGGGACCTATGTGGCCTCTTGGGCACTTGAATGGAGGACAGACAGACAGACGGGCTAGCGCACACCTGTGTGTCTGTCCTTGCAGCCTCAGGAACAGGGACTGGCACACGTGGGGATAGAGGAGGGGTGTGCTGGAAGGATGACAAAGCCAGGCTCTCCCACTGTCCCCTCTCAGGGCTGGCTGGCGGGAAGGGGCTGAGCTGCTGGCAGGTGAGGAGCCAGGCATCTGTAAGAAGGGAGGCCTGTAATCCCAGCTACTTGGGAGGCTGACATCAGGAGGATCACAGTGGTGGACCGTGCTGGAGGAGTTTGTGAGACCCCATCTCCAAAATAATTCGAGCTAAATGGACTGGAGGGGAGGCCCAAGTGGTAGAGCACCTGCTTTTCAAGTGCAAAACCCTGAGTTCAAACCCCAGTCCTACCAATAAATGGTGTGCAACTTAAAAACGGTGATTGGCTTATTTCTGGAATTGTCCATTTAATATTTTCAGACGGAGGTCGGCTCCAGTCATTGAAGCCACTGAAGATAAGGCCTCAGCTGGGCTGGGGGTCACTGTGTTCTCTTTACCACCGAGGTTGGTTGAACCTCCAGGAGAATTTCAGACAAACATCTGATAGCGTGGTCTTTTTTTGGCTGGCTTCTTTCACTAAGCATCTGAGTTCCGAGACTTACCTGTGGTGTGGAAATCAAATTGTTTATGCCCTTTTTTGTGGCTATATTCCTTGGTGTGAATGGGCCTAGGTTTTTGGGGGGGTTCTTTCTTCTTTTTTTTTTTTTGGCAGAACTGGTATTTGAACTCATGGTCTCACGCTTGCTAGGCAAGAAGCTCTACCACTTGAGCCCACTCTGCTGCCTAGGTTTGTCTTATTTGGTCACCTGTTGCTGGGTGATTGGATTGTTTCTGGTTTTTCTTTTTCTTTTTTTTTAGACAGGGTCTCACTATGTAGTCCAGGCTGACCTGACACTCATGAGCCTCAGATCTCACTTCCCAAGTGCTGGGATTACAAGTGTGCACCACTGTACCCAGTTCTGTTTCCAGTATTCCGACAATAATGAATAGAGCTGCTATGAATATGTATCAGTGAATCTTTGTGTGGACGTTAGCTTTCATTTCTTTGGAGTAAATGCTTATCTGTGCAATTGCAGGACTGTATGCTAAGAATGTAACTTCACAGGGGTCCCTGCATTGACGATGTGGGGATGTCGTGATATATATACAGATTTTAGTTATAAATATGCTAGGTAAGGAAAAAACTTATTTTGACAGTGCCAGGGATCAATCCAGGGCCTTGCACCTGCTTAGGCTGCTGTTCTACCACTGAGCCACACCCCGCCTAGACAGTATCTTAAATTAAAGCTCAGCATGGTGGTTCACGCCTGTAATCCAGCTACTCAAGAGGCAGAGACAGGAGGATGAGAATTGGAGGCCAGCCTAGGCAAACTAATCAAGATACTATATCATAACAAAATTTATATATACATTTGTTTCATTTTATTTTTTTGCAGTTACTGGGGCTTAAACTACTGGGGCTTAAACTCAGGGCCTACACCTTGAGCCACTCCACCTGTCCTTCTTTATGAAGGGCTTTTTTGAGATGGGGTCTCATGAACTATTTTCCCATGCTGGCTTCGAACTACAATCCTCCTGATCTCCACTCCTGAGTAGCTAGGATTACAGGCGTGAGCCACCAGCACCTGGCTTTGCTCGCTTTTGTTTTGGGTTTTTTTTGGCAGTGCTGGGATGGGACCCAGAGTCTCCAGCATGCTAAGCAAGTAGAAAGGAGTCAAGAGAGGCGGGAGCCCAGGCTCTGCCCCTCGTGGGCACGTCCTCAGGATACTCTCCGTCACCTGCCTTGGGGGTCCATTACGGGAGGGGGTGCGTGTGCCACCTCACCCCTGCCGAGCCATTTTTCTGCCGGGTCCCCTGGTGGAGCCTCTCCAGGCCTGGCTTGCTCCTGTCACAGCATGACTCCTCGACACCACAGCCACCCACAAGGGCTCACAGCACCCTGTGCCAGGGCTTGCCGAGAGGAATCCAGGTCACACGGACAGCTGTGCGGTGGCTCAGTGCTCAGGGATGTCAGTCCGATGGGCTGAAAGCGACTTTGTTCACCAAACTGTGGCTGTGTCCACGAGGAAGGTGTGGGGGGGAGGTCTTCCCAATTTGCACAAAGACTGTGACCTCTGACCCAGGCTGGTGGATGACCTCCCACAGGGGCCCCTATGGACTGGCGGGGTAGGGACACACACATCTCAGCCCTGTTCCCACTTCTGCTCCTGGACATTCTGCCTGCACTTGGGGCTGGAGGGACAGGACTGGGACCTGGGCTATGGGCTCTTTTCCTTCTGCAATGCGGTGGTGGGGGTGCTGACACCCCTCAGGGTCGTCCTGGACCCTCTGCCCGGCCTTGGCCTTGTCAGCCCCTTGCTCACTACCTCCCTCCTAGTTGGTTGTTTTCTGCAGGGCTCTAGGGAAGCTGTCACCCCCCTCTCTGGCACAGCTGTGGCTCCCATCTACCCCAGCAATGCCTGAAGCCCAATCTGCCCTGCTAGCTTCCCAGAATGGGACAAAGCCCAGCTGGGCTCCTCCCAAGCCACACTGTCACACAGTGACAAGGGCTGGAGCACTGTGCAGTGCCAGCCTCTCTGATCACTGCCCCAAGGACGCCCGTCCAGGAGAGGTCATGTCAGGTCACAACACAGTAAATGCGAGGCCCTGGGTTCCATCCTCAGCACCGCAAAACAAAACACGACACCCAAAAAAGTTCAGAAGCCAGGAACTGTGACGTGGCTTTGTAGTGCTGGGGTGAGTCCTGGGCTCACTCTGACCACAAGCCACACCAGCACTTCATTACGCCCCTTTATAGGTGGGAAAACCGAGGCACAGGGAGGCAAAGGAACTTATCCAAGGTCACACGATGGACAAAAGGCAAGGCTACCTTTCTTTGCTCTACCACGGAGCTGCACCCTAGTTTTCTTTTTCATAAGGAGCCTTTCCCCTCCCTCCCTCCCTCCCTCCCTCTCCCCCTTTCTTTCTTCTCAGTACTGGGAGTTGAGTCCTAGTCTGCTAGGCAAGTGCTCTGACACTTGAGCTACACCTCCCATCCTCCCCAGGCTGGCCTCGAACTCCACATGCTTCTGCCTCTGCCTCCTAGGTGCTGGGATTACAGGTGTGCCCCACCACACCTGCCTGAACAGTGTTTTCCGGGGAATCATTCTAGCCAGCGCCATGCACACAGCTGCGAGGTTGGGGCCCTGGCGCCCCCTCCACTTTGGCAGCGTGACAGGGGACCTGTCTGCTGGTGACAAGGGAGGTGGGGGGAGAGGGGACTCTCACCTCGACACGTGTTCTCACTCTCGTTGCTGAAATTCTTTCCCCCGGACTCGAGCTCATATCCCGGGCTGCAGGTGCAGTAGTAGCTCCCCTCCGTGTTCTCACAGTCCGCAAACTTGCCACAAGACACTTTCAGGGGTGCAGCACACTCGTTGATGTCTACAAATCAATGGGACAAAGGGTCACCTCCCAAAGGAGTGCCTTCTCTCAGGGAAGTTCGCTCCTCCCCAACCTAACTCCCTGCTGTCATTAGATCCTAGGCACAGTCTCGGGCTGCACCCTGAGGCGGTGCTGCAGCTGGAGCAAGCCATTCCTGAAGACCTCACAGGCAGCTCTGCTCCTCTCAGTCCTCTGGTTGACACCTCAGATGTGGGCACCGTGGACAGTGGCAGGGTGGCAGATGGGCAGGAAGCTCAGTGTCCCCCTCCTAGTTCTGAGGGCACCTTGAGGCACAACTCCTGGGACCCAGTCCCCTCTCTCCAGGAAGCCAGGTTTATTCACTCTTGCCTCTCCCCCGTCCTCTTTTCCTTTCTGTTTCTGTCTTTGATGATGGTCTGAGGCTGAGGGCTGACACCCCAGCCGTGACTCCTGTCCCCCCACCATCCCCAGTGTGCCCACCACGGCCCCAGCCTCGGTACCGTCACAGGTCCCCGTGGGACTGGTGATGAGCTTATCAGGTGGACTGAATCCCAGCTTGCAGCGACAGGCGGTGCCACTGACACATACAGAGTTCGGAGGACACCACTTAGCACATGCTGTGGGGACAGAGACCATGCTCAGAGAGTGCGGGAGTGGGGCTGGCAGCACCCAGAGGGGCCCAGGGGAGGTAGAGGACGTCCCCTTCCTCAGGCTGTGCCTGGGTCCACATGTTCCCAGCAGACTCACCAGGGCCATGCTGGGCTCCAGCTCTGCACAGACTCAGGAAGACGCACAGGGCTGCAAGAGAGCAAGGAAGGGGTCAGTGGGGACCAGGGGGCGATGCTCTGAAGGCACTGTCCAGCTCCAAGGCAGATCTCAGCAGCCGGGTGTGGTGGTACCTGCCTGTAATCCCAGCACTTTGCAGGTAGAAGCAGGAGGACCTGAGTTCCAGGCCAGCCCCGGCTACACAGTGAGACCCTGTCTCAGAAGTAAAACTTTTTAAAAAGAAAAAAGACACAGCCCAGGTGGCACCTCTCTGGGACCCGATGCCCATGGCCAGAGAGTTTGTCACCTGTCAGTCTCCTGACGTGTGGGCTGCAGATGGAGCCAGGCAGCAAGGTTCCCTGGAAGGCTGACAGGCAGTGTCACGGCTCCCTGTTTCAGTCTCCCCTTATACAAGATGACAAGGGCACCCCATCCTACTGCAGTGTGGGACTCAACCCCCCACATTCAACAGATTAACACTGTCCTCATCCTTTTTTGTTTTCGTTTGGTTTTGGTTGGTTTTTTGAGACAGGGTCTCGCTATGTGGCCCAGGCTGGCCTTGAACTCAGGATCCTATGCCTCAGCCTCCTGAGTGCTGGGATCACGGAGTGTGACCCTTCCTGGCTCCTTTGCCATTCTTTAGGTAAAAAGAAAGGTCCTGGGGCAGGAGTCCTCCTCAGATACTCTGTCCCCACCCCCTTCTTAGGAACACGTGACACCTGGCACAGCCACCACCACCTTCAGCCCACCCTGGGAACCAGCGGTGACACTTCACCCTCCACTCCCCACACACAGGAAGCCACTGTGGTTGCCTGGTGGGCGCCTCATGTCCTCTGTTCCTGCAGCTCTCAGAGCCCCCCCACACGCCCAAGGCAGGACCTGGGGACCTCAGGTCACCAGGGGCTTAACAGGTGGGGACCTGCTTGTCTTGGGCCGAGAGCAGACAAGGGGCCAAGCTGAAGAAAAAATGGAGAAGGATCAGAGAGAGGTAGGAGGAGACAGAGGCGGGAGGAGAGAGAGAGAGGAGAAAAAACAAGATGGAGAGAGGACAGAGACACAAGAGGAGGAGGAGGAGGCCTCGGGAGCAGAGGGCTGAGAGGGGACATTGAGTTCCTGCCAACCTGGGTCACACTGGGGAAAACACAAGGACCCCATAATCTCAGGAGTCACGAATGGGGGCGTCGGGAGAGATGGGACAGATGGGGAGGCCGTGTGTGACTCACTTCCTGTGCCAAGGGGAAGGGATGGCTCATGACTCCCTTGCCCCAAATCGCCCCCGATGGGGAATCCTAGGTTGGCCATTGTGAGCACGGCTTGGGGGGGCTGTGTGTGTTTGTGGGGTGCCAACTGGAGGGGCCCCTGACGCTCAGTGAGTGTCTAAACTTGTTACCCTTCATTATAGCAGCAGGGCAGAGACCCCCCCCAACATGACCCTTTGCAGCTGGGGTAAACTGAGGCCAGAGCACCTGCCCCAGCCCCTCCACTGCCCTGATCTCATGTCAGAATCCCCATTTTTCTTCCTCCTCTCAGGCCACAGGGCCTGGCTAGTTCCCCCCTCAGCCAGGACCCACTTCCTCCTAGCAGGACAGACCACAAATGATCTTCCCTCTAGGGACACCTGGGTGACTGTCCCCAGCTCCCAAAGCCACCAAGTAACTCCTTTAAGACTCTGAACCAGCAAGGAGGAGGGACTGGGTTGTGTTCATTGTCTTACATGAGAAACTGAGGCCTGAGCCCAGGACAAGATCAGGAAGGGCCTCGGGGACCCCAGGAGGAGGGGGAGGCAGGGCAGGTGGATTTGAGCACGAGGTTCCCAGACCCTGGGGACAGCTCCTTGGCACCCCATCCCCTCTGCCTGGGTGGGGCTGGGCTCTCCCCCGCCGTCCTGAGTCTGAGGGCCAGCCTGTCTCCATCTGGGGACTTGGAAAATGACCAAACGGGAGCCGGGAGACAGAGCTGCTGGTCTGTCCTCCCTGCCCCATCTGGTTTTCATTGCTGGCTGGCAGAGCCAGGGCAGGAAGGTTCCTGCTGGGGACCCGAGCTGGGGGAGCGGCCGCCCTTGTGCCTCTTTCTAAGGACCCCCATCCTCTGTTTCTCTGTCCCCCCCCCAGCATCTTCTACAGCAATGAATGCCAGTACAACACTCACCGTGTGTGCTCAAATTTTACTTGTTTACTTCCGGCGAAAAGCAGTAAGAGTTCGTGCGCTAACTCCCTCTGCCCTCAGATCCACCCAGGAGAAAGATGTCACCGACTCCATTTTACGGATGAGAAAAAGTAAGCCTATCTCTGTGACTTGGCCCTGCTGACAGCCAGGCACCCTGCTCCAGCTGTCCCCCACCAACTGTGCCCCAGGCACACTCCTGTCCCTCCATCCCAAGTTCAGGGCACGTTATTCTGCCACCTGCCACCCAAGGCTGGCACAAAGGCAAGTAAGTCCCTGTGGCTGGGCCAGCCCGCGTTTGCTCCCCAAATGTCATTTGTTCCCTGTCTTTGTTGCCCTGTTGCTCAGGCAACGAGCTGTCCTGATAACCGTTAGTCACCCTGGGCGGGGCAGGGCAAAGTCCCGGGAAGTCACAACAAAAGTCACGTTCAAACTCACAGCCTGCAAGATCTCTAGAACCTGTGCTGAGTTCCCCGGCAAGTTGTAGGGGGAACTAGAACCAGGGTCTCTGGGGCTGATCCCTGACACATGGGACAAATTTGGGGTGCCCTGCATTGGGGTTCCCTCCAGCCGTCCCCCCACCTCCAGCATCCCATATATTCTATGTTAAGAGGAGCTGCATGAACGGGGATCCCAGCTCTTATATTTTGCCCTCTTTGTCTCTCTCTGACTCAGTTTCCCTCTTAGGGCACAACCTCCAAATTGCCTCCAGGAAAAGCATGAAGACCCCGCCTCTGGCAGGGGAGCAGACTCTCAAGGCACCCCAAAGTTCCTGCTGGGGTGCACAGGTGTCCAGGCTTTTCCTGTCCCTCTCCCGGAATGTCTCCAGCACCCGCCAGACCATGTGGCTTCCCCACGGCCCAGAGCGGGGACCCAGGGGACACGCGGTGACCTACCCCTCCCAGCGGCACCCCAAAGTTCTCACCTAGGGCGACTGGGCGGCGGGACACCGCCATGGTCCCGGCGCTGGCAGGCAGAAGCCGGGAAGTAGGGCGTGGGACACAGGGTGGCGCGGTGTCCTCTGGGCAGGCAGCTGTGCGCTGTCGCAGGCCCGGCCTTTATGAAGGGGGCGGGGGACAGCGCTGGCCCAGGATCCTCCCCGGAACTGGCGGGGCAGTTGGAGGCCAACAGGAAAGTGCAGGGCAGTGGGACTCGGGACCAGGGCGCTGCGCACAGGCGCGCACAGTGCACACCGGCGCGCACACAGCACACTCGCGCGCGCACAAGTGCACGGCACACACGCAGGTGCATACACCGAAAAGCACGTTCGTGGTAAGCACACGCGCGTGCACACACATGCATTCGCACCGCGCGCACGTGTGCACACGCGCATACAGGAGTGTATAGTACACTTCGTGCGTGCACACACGCATGCACGAGCACGCGCGCCTGCCTCACAACAGGAATGAAACCCGGTTTCCAGCTCCACCAGCCGGGCGGCTGGGACGTCCTCCCGCCCCTGTGGATATAGGGCCGGACAGCCAGCGGGCATCCTGCTCAGAACCGGTTCTGCTCTGTCCTAGCCTCAGCGGGGTGGCACTGGGCAGGGTGACACTGGGCGCTGAGCTGCAGCAGGGGCCACCGTGGAGATGGCTCCAGATTGCCCCGATCTGACTCACAGAGCCCTGTTTCCAGAGGAGGAAACTGAGGCAGGAAAAAGAGGCCAGTGTCCACCCAGGAACCAGAAGCAGGGAGGGGGCTCTTCACAGGTACCAGGCAGGTGTCAGGAAGAGAAATGGCAAGGGCTGGGGTGGGACTCAGTGGCATGACTGAGACCCAGGGTCCCACTCCCAGCATCACAAGAAAGAACAAGAAAAGGAAAAAAGGGGAGAGAGAGAGAGAGAGAAGAGAGAAAGAAAGAGAGAGACAGGAGCGGAGGGGGAGGGGGGGGAGCCTTCCAGGCCCAGGGCAGCCCCACTGCTGGCCATCCCATTAATCACAGAGTCACATGACCGGGGGGGGGGGCTTGTTTCCTTTTTGAATAAATCACATGACTGCCTTTCTCTCCAGCCATCCAGTGATTTTGAAAACCCTCTGATTTACGGTGGTAACCTGCACCACTTTCCTCGGCCCCATCTTCAGTGCTCAGCCTGTGGGGCTCTGATTCCCCCAAGCGTCTATGAGGCTGGCGCCCTAATGATTCCCTTGTATAGGGGAGGAAACTGAGGCACAGCTAGCTTGCGCAAGGGGCCCAGAAGGGAGATCCAACAGGCAGTGGGCCCAGGCCAGAGTCCCTGCCAGGGACAAAGTCTGGGCTGCACACCAAGGCGATTTTAGTACCTCTCTGACCCACAGGTTTAGCGGCCAACTCTCCAGCTAGCATTCAAAGACCTGGTTTGTGTCCTTTCAGTTCTTCCTTACTTTTGGGGTTGGGGTGGGGCTCAAGGGTTGAGTGCTTGCCTAGTGTGTGCAAGATCCTGGGGTCCATCCCCAGAACTGCAAAAAAAATTTTTTGATTTTTTTTTTTGAGACAAGTTCTCACTATATGGCTCAATTTGCCATCCTCCTGTCTGTTTCCCGAGTGCTAGGATTACAGGCATGATTCACCATGCTCAGCTTGACATTTAAGTTTTCCTGCTATTTAGGGAAAATAAGGAGGATTTTCTGATGACATCAGGGCTCTTTTTTTGTTTTCTTTTCCTTTCCCCCAGGGGTACTCGAGTTTGAACTCAGGGCTTTGCATTTGCAAAGCAGGCGCTCTACTGCTTGAGGCACACCTCCAGTCCATTTTGCTCTGGTTATTTTGGAGATGAGGTCTCACAAACTACTTGCCCTGACTGGCCACAAACCTGGATCCTCCTCATCTCAGCCTCCGAAGTAGTTGGGATTACAGACATGAGCCACCATGCCCCAGCCAGAATGACATTTTTTTTTCTAGAAAGTTGGAAATCCCAGAGCTCACTGTCCCCTCAGACAGTATGGGGTTCAATTTTCCTGTCTGTGGAATGGGGATTAAAATTAGCGGTTCACTGCTGTGCAGAGCAGGGTAAGGACAGAACAAAGAAATGGAGTTGTGTGCTCCACACTTAGGGAAGACATGGTAAGGGACATCCCCTTTTCGGCCACTGCCACCCCATAATCTGGCCGGTCAGCAAGTCTTCTGCTCTGACTTCTCTTCCGTCCCCACCCTGGCCTGATCTCATCGATTCCTGACTCGGTTTTTTGCATCCCCCCCCCCCCCCCCCCCCCCCCCCCCGCAACACACACACAGCCACTGCCCTGTGCACACCTGAGTCAACGCACAGCCCTCTTCAGTTCAAGAACCCTCCAGGGCTCCCACTTCACTCGAGCAAAACCTCAAGTCCTCCCTGTGGCCCTGGGGGCCATGGTCATTTTTTCTTTGTCTCTACACTGTCCTCCTCTCTTCTCTGGCCCTGTTACCTTCACAGCTCCAGTTTCCTTTTTTTTTTTTTTTTTTCTTTTTGGTGAGACTGGAATTTGAACTCAGGGCTTCGCACTGGGGTCTCGAGAACTGTTTGCCTGGGCTGGCCTCAAACCTTGATCCTCCCAGTCTCAGTCTCCCAAGTAGCTAAGATTAGGCGTGCGCCACCACACCTGGCCTCCTTTTGGAAAAGGGTCTGACCTCAGGACTTTTTTTCTTTATCTGAAATGTTCTAACCTCTAGGTCTCCGCAGGGTTCCCTCCCTTTCTCTCCTTCTGTTTTTTTTCCTAAATATCCGTAGATCTACCCACTTCCTCATCCACTCCCAACCCTCGGGGACTTTTTTGTGGTGTGTGTGCTCAGCCACACTCCAGACTTTTCCCCCATTCTTGCTTTGGGATAAGACTTATCCTCTGCCCACCATATAATTTATCCCTTGCTCTGCTCACTGCCGGCTGGGCCAGGGCGGTGGGACAGTCTCAACTTGAGCGTCACCAACCACAGGCTTCAGAATAGCAACTTGCAGGGTGGGGAATTCCCCACCCACCCGCAGCTGCTAGACACCTCCCCCAGGCTTCCTGACCCAGTCCCCAGCGAGCTCCTCCTCCTCCTCTCTGCCCTGAAGCCCCTGCCCCCAGTGACCTATTCACAGGCCTGGGACACCTGGTGAGCTCTGCTATCCCAGCCTGAAGCAGGGGACTTCAAGTAGGAACACAGTAGGAGGGTTGCTCAAGCGAGAAGTGATGAACTCGGAGTTTTCAACAAATAACACTGATATTCCCCTGAGCACAGCGGTGAACGTCTGCCCTCTTCAGCTCAAGAGCCCTTCATAGCTCCCACTTTACTAGGGCCAAAGATTACTAGCATAATCGTATTGTGTGTTACTAATTATTCAGATTTTTATTACTCCAGCTGCAACAGTGTTCATCTAGCACTTTCTGTGTATCTGGCCTGCTTTTTTGTTTAAACTTTTTTTGGTGGTGCTGGGGCTTGAACTCACGGTGTACACCTTGAGCCACTCCACCAGCCTTTTTTTGTGATCTTTTTTTTTTTTTGAGATATGGTGTCACAAACTATTTTCCCATGCTGGCTTCAAACTACGAGCCTCCTGATCTCCACCTCCTGAGTAGCTAGGATTACAGGCGTGAGCCACCAGCACCTGGCTTTGCTCGCTTTTGTTTTGGGTTTTTTTGGCAGTGCTGGGGATGGGACCCAGAGTCTCCAGCATGCTAAGCAAGCGCTCTACCTCTGAGCCACACCCCCAGCCCTGGGCCTTTCTTCTAAGCACTTCACAGTGACTGAACTCACGCCTCCCACGAGTTCTCAGGGGAAGGTGTAATTTCCATTTGACACACGGGGAAACTGAGGCATGGAAGCATTAAAATCACCTGTGTGGGGGCACAGAACACTCCTGCCCATCCTATAGCAGAAGGCCTGGACAAAGCCACCTCCCTCCTTTGCTGGGGTGCTGTGTGGCTTTGAGTGGGTGATGTGCCCACTCTGGGCCTCGGCTTCCCCATCTGTAATACAGAGCTTTTCCGGGCATGCAGAGGGACCATGAGAAAGCGGCAGGGGTCTCACTGGGAAGGATGCTCAGGAAACCACAGCAGGGGCTGTTAGGGTGACCTCAGAGCTGGGGGACCCTGTGTCTGCTTCCTTCTGCAGTGGGGCGACCAGTCCCCCTACTGCCTGGGTCATCAGTGCTCAGCCCCCACACAAGCCTGACTGTGGAAGGGGGTCAGATGGGGTCTCTGGGTGCAGGCGGACATAACAGGATGTCCCTGAGCCTGAGGACAATGACAGAGGAAGAGGCTGGGCAGCCACCACACAGATGAGCCGGGTAGTGGCTCCAGGAGGGCGGCTCAGCCATTGTGAGGGTAGACAGCTGTCCCAGGAGCCAGGAAGCCCAGACAGAGAGAGAGGGAAGAGGGTGGGAGAGTGGGAGCCCTGACCCCCACCCAGTCCTCCTGCGGGCTGGACACCTGGCTTCAAAGGCCCACCTGGCTGCAGACTCCACCCAGCCCTGCTGCCTCCCTCCGAACCCCAGGCTGCCACCCTCCCAACGCAGAGGCTGTATTTATAGCCGCCTGGGTGCTGAGCAAGCTCTAAATAGAGAAGCCTGGCTATTTGGAGCTTCAGCCTGGAGTGGAGTGGGGACAGAGCGCCCTGCGTGGCCGCCTGTCACCTGTCATTACCCTGACACCCCAGGGCCTCTGGAGCTGTGGGCGGTCCAGGGCAGCCTTGGGAGGCTAAGATTGGGAGGATGGAGCTTGGAGACCAGCCCCAGCAAACAGTTCCAGAGAGAGACTCCATCTCCAATGGATCCGGAGGAGCTGCTCAAGCATTAGCGCGCATGCTGTGCAAGTGCAAAGCCCTGAGTTCAAATCCCAGTCCCACCAAAGAGCAATAGAGAGGTGAATGGGACCCAAGGACGTTATATGTGTTATGCCAATGTCACAGTGAAACCTCTGTGTACAAGGAACATAGGCCAATAGTTAAACAAAGGAAGAAAAGGACAAGCCAGCCCAGCCTGTCTCCAGTGGAAGAGGAGGAGGGGGAGGGGAGGGGGAGGAGGGGGTGGGGGGAGGGGACCCGCATTGCCACTCCAGGGCCCACACCTGACACCCCCTCCTCCCACCCCTGCCTCGGTGGTGACAGAAGTGGGCCAGGCCGTGACTTCACTGTTCTCAGCTTCTAGGAAACTTCAAGCACTTCAGGAAGCTGCAGGGGCGCCCCGAACCCCAAACAAACCCCAGCACCTAGCAACGACTTCCCCT